AGCGCCATGAGCATCTCCTGGTCCATGAGCAGCACCAGAAACCACAGAAAGCTCTTTGCTTTCTTGTAGATAAGGGAGAAGTGGAAGAGTTGGTGCTGCAGTCACACTTCTGCATTCCTAGAAAGGCTCAGCAAAAGCATCAAAGGATCTAGTAGATCCTCCAAAGACTAACTGTGAGCCTGCACCAGAAAATTCAAGCAGTGGTGCTGAGTAGCGCCCTAAGCCCACACAGCGATGGCTTCTGTTCAGCAGCTCTGGATGGAACAGAGTATCAGGTAAATAACAAGTTTCTCTACCTTTCCTTCGGCGAGACCAAAGACAATGATATTCTCCGCTGGCCACAATAGGCAGGTCACGGCACTCTGACAAGGAGGAGGCAAAAAGAGAGATGAGAGATTCATCCTACTTAGAAAACTACTCACCCCATTGCTACACAAGACAGCTCATGAACAGTAAGAGCACTCARACCAAGTAAAAGAAGAGATGGGGGCACTGGGGTGGATATTAAATTGGGACTGAAGCTTGAATTCAAGCAAGGTGGGGGAGAATAACGAGGAGGGCATCAAGTTGTACTAGACGCTCTTCAGTACAGACACTCTTCTGAGAAGCTCTCTCATTGATCTCAGACTCTAGTATAAGTGTCTATACTAACTAGTATAAGACATTAAAACAATCTGATTCTGCTACTTTCTGTAATGGATATGAGAATGTTTGCACTTTGACCTTTCATTTGGTGTATTCACTAAAATCAAATCAAAATCCACATCAGCAAGCAGAGCTACAGACAGACACCAAAATGCTCCTGGATACTTCAGCTGCTCATAATTTACAAGTGCAGCTTTTTACTCAAAGCCCACTTTTTACTGCTCCAGCTTTCCAGGCGTCTGTATCTTTCCCTCATTATCTGCCAGACCTTATTTTCTGTCTTAGACAGCCACAAACAGCCTTGTGACAGCTTGGAAATGAGGTTCACTTAGTGGCAATGCGCTCAGCTGCTAGTGCAAGGGACTCAAACTTGTGCTACTTATCCTGGCCCTCCAGCAGGATGTCTTGTTCGCCAGCAGAGCAGAACAGGGTCACTGCACGCAGATGTACAAGAGCACGCAGCAAGTTTGGCAAATGGCACGGGAGGGAAAGGCCTCAATAAATGATGCTTAACAGTGACTCAATGAACCAAGAGTCTAAAAAATCAGTATTTATCTATAGAAGAAAATCTAGTCCATCAAGGACACATTAATAAAAAAAACCCAAAAATTAAACAACAAAAAAACCAAAACTAACCCCCCACAGACATCATCAGAAAAATAAAGGATTTATTACAATAGAAATGGTATAAAGGACATGCAAAAAGAGAAATGAATCATTAAAAATACAAAGAACAGTGTGCATGCATGGGGCATCCCAGAGGTGCAAGACACAAGCAGAGAGAGTACCACCTGTGGACCCAAAGAGGCAGCTGTGCCGAGAGGAAGGGGCAGCGGGTGCCCGCCAGGCCACTACCAGCCCACCAGCAAGCAGAGTCAGGGGGCTGCTCAGCAGCCTCATCCCCAGCAGCGCCTGCAGGCACCGAACAACAACTGCGGGTCTCTCCTCTGAGGCTACAGGCACCCACATGGGGGTGAGCCACGATGCTCAGGAAAGGCCTGAAATGGCCACGACCCAGAAACGTAGCCCTTCAGCTTGAGGGTTGAGGCTGTCCTTCACTCGATGGATGTCGTAAGGAGCAGCTTCAGCTGGGTTGTTTGGGGGTTTGGTCCAGGGGAGTGACTCTTCCTAAGAGGCAGTGGCTACTTCAGCAGTCTATACAGCAGGGAACTCATCTAGTCAGATGGAGAAAACGGGGGTCACAGGATGGTGGCACCTGGCTGGGGCACCTGCAGGGCTCATGGACATTTGCTCCCAGATGTAAAAGGATTAGGCACTGCATTGCACTTCCTCATACAGGTGGTTTTCTGTACAGGGAACTAGAATACCTGTGCCTTTTCCAGACATATCACCCTCAAGATAAACCTTGGCAGAGACCTATTGAGTGCACTCTCACACAAGTATGCAGAGATAGAGAAGCAGGAGAAGAYGAAGATGGCCAAGGAGATAACCCGACTGAAATTACAAACCAGGGGTCTTTGAATAYAGGGAAACTGCAATCTGGTTTAATTCCACACACTTTACATTTGGGCTATTATTGAACGTTGATGATGCCCAACAAGATAATGAACTGCAAGAAACGATAAAAATCTGGTTGAGTCTGCTTTCTCACTTGGCACATCTGGCTGGTAAGAAGGGAATTTGGCCCCCTGTGCCAGGATGTACCTGGACCGCAGCTACCAGGCACTTGCAGTGCAGCAGTTGTATSAGAAGTACAAACTGCCTGTAATGAGTTTGTGAATCTTGTGAACCCTTCTTGTTCTGCACTGGTTGCCTGAGAGCCCACAACTCCAGCACAAGCTACCAGTAGCCACCCCGCAATACCGTGCTGGAGAGCAGAATTAGCTACCAAGCAATCTCCTCCGCTCTCAGGTGGAGCACAAAAATGCTGCTTGTGGTGCAAGGAACTGCTAGGCAGACCCGCAACATCAATCACATATTGTACAGAAAAAGTACAGTACGGGCAGAAAAAAGTATCTGAGCCTTCTGAATTGTTCAACAGAAGCTGCAGGCTGCTGTCTGTCCTAAGCAGGTTCTAAGTCTTGCATTACAAGGGGATGAAGAAAAGCTCATGAGAAGCAGAGAAAGCATCCACCAAAAGAGCTTTATCCAAGAGTTTTGCCAAAAGGGAACCACAGCAACCATCATGGAATTAGCATACATGCAAGAGTAGGAAAAAGGCAGAGACTGGTGTGAAGCCATGAATATCCCAAAAGCCTGAACATGTGGGGATACAGAGACACACAGGTGACCCTGGGGGGAACACCAGTATTCAGGATGTAGAGCCAGTCGTCAGGAATGCATTGCACTGACAGGGCAATCAGACGACTGTGGAGCAAGGGGCTGCACTAAAACGCTCTGCACAGGGGCACTTCTAAGTCAAAGGGGGCGCTTCTAACCCAAACCCTGAAGTAGAGAAGTCTCAGTCATTGTGCCCAGAGTGTCTAACACTGTTAAAATACAGAGATTAGGGGGAAAACAAACAAACAAACACACACCCACTAGACTGGCTCCAGGACTGGAATATCTACTTTTGACCATGATGTCCACAGTCTCTAGTCACTTATAAAAGAAAAGGTCCACAGCTAACGGGAGAACAGTTGCTGCTTTTTTTAGCTTTAGAGCACCTTGGGGACTCCTGACATACATCTAGCCTCTCCTACAAACCTCGATCATCCGTTTTACATGGGCTTCCTTCAGTCGTTACCTTACCGAAAGCAGCAGAAAAGGTTAAGACAGGAGTCTGGGTCTCACCGTTTGGATGAACTTRTTGCAAATCACCTTCTTGTCACCCCTGAAAAGGAAAAAATGGGATCAAGCTGTTAATATTGCCCATCCTCGTTGCTGAGTGAGACAGGAGGAGCAGGAGTGGGACCCTCCGCTCCTTCCCTCTGAGAAGGGGGACAGCCAAGGTCTGCTCCGCCGGGGCTGCACCCATGGGGATTGGGTCCTAAATCCCACATCCTGGCCCCAGACCCTGACCCTGGCTCTAGGTGCTGGCTCCTAAGCCAGACTCCAGGCTCAGCCCAGTCCCAGTTGATGTCCTGGTGTCCCGTGACACTGCGGGTGCTATAGGGCAGCTCCCGGGCACCCTGCAGCACTGCGGGTGCCATAGGGCAGCTCCTAGGCACCCTGTGGCACTGCAGGCGCCCTGTAGCAGCTCCCAGGCACCCCACGGCACTGCGGGCGTCCCGTAGTAGCTCCTGGGCACCCTGTGGTGCTGCGGGTGCCCCGTAGCAGCTCCCGGGCACCCCACGGCACTGCGGGCAACCTGTAGCTGCTCCTAGGCACCCCGTGACACTGTGGGCGCCCCGTAGCAGTTCCCGGGCACCCTGTGACACTGCAGGTGTCCCATAGCTGCTCTCAGGCACCCCATGGCACTGTGGGTGCCCTGTAGCAGCTTCCGGCCACCCCGTGGCACTGCGGGCACCCCGCAGCAGCTCCTGGGTGCCTCATGGCACTGCGGGTGCCCCGTGGCAGCTCCCAGGTGCCCCACGACGCTGCAGGTGTCCTGTAACAGCTCCTGGGTGCCCCACAGCACTGCGGGCGCCCCACAGCAGCTCCCGGACGCCCCGGGCCGCGCTCACCACTCCTCGCCAATGCGGTACACGTAGACGATGTTGTCGGTCTGGCCCACGGCAATCTTGGTGGAGTCGGGCGAGAAGGCCATGGCCTTGACCACGTAGCTCTTCCTGCCAAACTGCGGTGCTGCCGTGAGTGCCGGGTAGCCCCGTGGCGCCGGCCCCACCACCTGCGCCCCTCACCTTGGCGTCCGCTGGCTTGGTGGAGAACTTGTCGCGCCGCTCGCCCTGTTCATCGTAGAGCAGCACCACGCGCTCCACGGTGCACACAGCGAAGCGGGCGCTGCTGCCCGACCAGGCCATGCAGGTCACGCGCGCTGCGCCGTCCTGCGGGGCACGCGGCGCGCGGGCTCACACCGACACCGGCACCGGGAGCGGGAGCCGGCCCCGCCGCCGCCGCGCTACCCGCCCGCCCCCACGCACCTGCGGCGGCAGCAGCGTCCGCACGTGCCGCAGCTGCATCGCGACCGGCACCGGGCACCAGGCGCCACCGGCTCTCCGGCCCGGCTAGGCCGCGACCGTTGCCCGGCAACCTCAGCGCCGCCGTGACGTCATTGCGCCGCCCCGCCCGGCCGCCCCCGCCGCACTCCGGCACATCTGGCGGCGGCACCAGCACCGGCATCGGCGCGGCCCGGTTCGGTTCGGCCCCAGCACCGGCCCGGCGAGGCTCGGCACCGGAGCCAGCAGCGGTCCAGCGCGGCTCCGCGTGGCTCGGCTCGGCCCAGCTCGGCACTAGCACCGGCCCGGTTCGGCTCGGCTCGGCGCGGTGCCGTCATGGAGGCGCTGCGCGCGGCGGGACGGGCCGTGCTGCGCAGCCCGCGCCTCGCCCGCCACGGCCTGGGGCTCCGCCGGCGGCGCAGTGAGTGCGGCCGGGACCGGGACTGGGGCCGGGGCGGCGACGGCGCCTCCCGCGGGGCCGCGGCCGCCTGGGCATCGGTCCCACCTGCCCGGCCCCGGCCTGGCCCTGGCCTTCGGCGTGGGGCCGGGGCGGGCTGTGGGACGGGCTGTGGGGCGGCTGTGGGGCTGGGGCGCAGCAGCAGGGCCGTGGGGCTGCCCCTGCTAGCAGCCTCTGCCCCACTTGCAGACTGGGTCTGTGCCCGTTGGGGCGGCAGCAGGGGCAGGGCTGCGCGCAGTGCTGCCCGCGGGGCTCGGCGGCACTCTGGGGCCGCCCCGCGCGGTGCCCGGTGCCCTGGTGCCCCCATCCCGGTCCCCGTGTCGAGCGCCCTGCTACCCGTGTGGCTCCGCGGCCCCGCTGGTGGCCGTGGGCAGCCGTGGGCGCAGCTGGCGCCGGGCGCTGCGGAACAAGGTCTCCGGCATCCCTGCGGGCTCGCGCTATCCCAGTTACCCRTCAGGGCTCTCTGCAAGTGTGCCACGAGTGCCCTGAGACTTAATTGCAGGGAGGAGGGGAAAAATAACCTGGAAATAGAGGGAAGGGCAGCTGCACTAGGCAATCCCGAGGGAAGCGTGCAAGCCTGGTGTTTGTGAGCGGCCACGTAACCGCTCCATCCTACTCGTCGGGCTGATACCCAGGGGATGGGCAGAGCTGCCCCACGGGGCCCCGCCGCTGCCCCACAGGACCCCCTGCTGCCCGGGGCTCTTGCGGCCGTAAAGAGGTGAGGGACGAGGCAGCTGCCACTTCGGGCAATGCGGCTGTTCCACTGCCCGGGAGGGTGGGCTGCAACTCCCTGCTCTGCCCTGCAGCCCATCCGCATCCTGCTTCCTGGGAAGCTGGTGTTGCTCACGGAGTTCATCCCTAGCACAGCGCCCATAGCCGCAGGTGCTTCCCRGCGGCCCCGCTCGGACTGAGCACCAGGCGGGCTGCCTCCCCTTCCTGGTAGTGGCAGGATGGGGCTGGCGGAGGCTTTGGATTTGGTTGCAGCCGGGCGCCTTGGGAGGTTGTTTTGAGTGAGCAGGGCAGTTTTGGAAGTGTAGGTGCCATGGGTCTAGATCAGAGCATGCGGTAGCAGGAGCGCTTGGTTCTGAGCACCATGCTGCTCCTGAGCCCCCTGCCCTACTCCTGGGGCTGCAGGAGCTGCACGGGGCCGCGCCGCCAGCCACTGCACATGGCTCACGCTGCCGCTGTGCTTCCTCCTTGCAGAGCTGCCAGAGAACTGGGCCGACATGCGGGAGCCGCTGCTCGAGGGCATGTGCTTCACGCTCAAGTACCTGGGCATGACGCTGGTGGAGAAGCCCAAAGGAGAGGACATGGCAGCTGCCGCTATCCGCCGGATTGTTGCCATGGTGAGTGCTGGTCGGGGCGGCTGCTCGGAGCGCACGTCCAGCCCCTCGAGCGCACGTCCAGCCCCCGGGCCCAGCAGCGTCCCAGCCATCCCAGCACTGCTGTCCAGCAGGGAGCTGCTGCTCCCGCCGGGAGCAGCGTTCCCGCCTCCACTCCATGGGGAAGGCCGTCCTTCCGCAGGACGGAGCTGTGCCTGTTGTGCCTGGAGGGGTGGCGCAGGTGCTGGTGAAATGGGGCCTCTCTCGTCCCGTGTGTGTGGCAGCTGCATGAAGGCAGCCCGAGACTGTTCTGTGCATGGTGTCCCTGAGCTCCAGGCTCTGCTCTGCTGCATCTGTGGCTGCAGTGCACATTGCTTTGCAGTGGGGCCCAAGTGCACAGAGCTTGGGCCCCTGTGCAGAGCTTGGGTGGCTGGTGCCCATGAAGGGTGAAGTCCCTCCCTGCGTGTGTAGAGGTGACATCTGTCTCCCGCTGCCAGGCTCGGGTGGGAGCTAGGAAGTTCCAGAAGGTGATTCTGACGGTGTCACCCAGGGGCATTTCACTGCAGGACGCGGAGACCAAAGAGCTGGTTGAGAACATTTCCATCTACAGGTGGGCATGGCGTGCAGGGCGGGCTAGGGCTGGCGGGGGAGCTCAGAGGGCTGGGCTGTTTGGGGTGCAGCTGCAGACTGGTGGGGTCTTGAGCAGCCAGCGCGAGCTGGGGCTTCAGTCAGTGGTGCCATCTACCTTGCACCTCCCTGGTGGCTCCTGAGGCTGATGCTCCCTCCCCTGCTGTGCCTGGTGATGCTGACTGGGGCTGATGCAGATGGGGCCTGGGCAGCCCTGTGCCAGCCTGCGTGCTTCCCTGGCGCTGCTGTGTCCCTGGGATATCGGAGCTGGTGGGTCCCTCGGTGGTGCAGATGGGACGAGGGTGCCCACTGCATTTGGCTGCAGGCGGTCACTGGGAGGGCTGGTATGCRAGAATGGTGTTACAGCTGGGCTGGGTGTCTGCGGGTGCTGTGTGCGAGCACGGATGCAGGCGGCTGCATGGGAAGCAGATGCAGGGCATCTCTTTGGGGCAAAATCTGGTTTCGGCACTAAAGAGGCTGTGTTAGGGCTGACCACCCTGCTGCCTTGCCTCCCCACTTGTCCTGGGAGGCAGCCACCTGCCCTACTGTGCTCCATATGTCAGTGCTTTAGTTCCCACCTCTGCTTGAAATGCTCATCAGAGGTCCCAGGAGCCCACTGGGACAGTGCAGGAGGGAATACATGTGGTTGCAGGAATCACAGAATCACAGAACAGCTGAGGTTGGAAGGGACCCCTAGAGATCATCTAGTGCAGCCCCTGCTTCAGCAGGGACAGCCAGAGCACGGGGCTCCTGGGCGCATCCAGGAGATCTCCAGAGAAGGAGCCTCCACAGCCTCCCCGGACAGCCTGTTCCATATCTCACCAGCGCTGGGGCTGGGCAGTTCTCTGGGCTCTCTGGTTAGGGGAAGCAGGTGAAAGCATTGCTTGGTGCTGTGTTGGGTCCTCTGCTCCCCTGAGCAGCTCCGCTCTGTCCACAGGATTTCCTACTGCACAACAGACAAGCTACAGAACAAGGTTTTTGCTTATGTTGCCCAGAGCCAAGAGAGTGGGGCCCTGGAGTGCCATGCCTTCCTCTCGCCCAAGAAGAAGATTGTAAGCACTTCCCTCTGCTTTTGTCCCTGTGAGGTAAGGGATGGAGCAAGGGCCCTACTTCTCCCCTCCTGGATATGTGGTGCTGAGTGCTGCCAGCATGGCTCTTGCCTCCCTGTGTCTCGGCTGGAAATGTAGCCAGGGAGCAYGTGTGTCCTCTGCAGGGGACACGGATGGTGAGTGGTGGGGAGGCTCCTCTTTCCTACCTCATTTGGCATTTCCTCCTGGGGGTGACTGGCCCAGGTTGGTTGATAGACCCAGCTCTGAGCTCTGGCCTCCCATGTGCTCTGCGGGGAAGGCGGCGAGGCCAGGGTGACCCTAGATCTCAGGAGGGGAAGGGAGGGCCTGGCTTGGGKACACAGCTGATAGCAAGATGCGTCTCTTCTTTCTTGCCTTCAGGCCCAGGCGGTGACTCTGACTGTGGCCCAGGCCTTCCAGATGGCACTGGATCTCTGGGAAGCAGCACATACAGGTAGGAGGAATTTTTTGGATGTCTCCCTCTGCCTATCCCTGGGATCAGTGCAGCTGATCAGTGCAGTGCAGGACCCTGCCTTGGAGGAGAGATGGCTCGCTGCCTGGCTGGTGGAACGGACTGAGCAGGAAGAAACATGTCCTGGTGTCCCTGCTGCTGTGCTTCCTGCTGCTGCCCCCAGGCGCCTGCCCTCCCTCTGCTGTGGGGGTCCCTGCTGAACACTTGCATTGCTGAGCTGCAGCACAACTTGGGCTGTCACGGACCTGCCCTGAGCAGGGATCCCTCAGCCTGGTCGGCACCCTCCGCAGAGCACAGCAGCAGTATCTGTCCCTTGCCCATGATCCTGCCCGTGCGTCTTCTGCTCTGCCTTTTCCAGATTCACAGGCACTAACTGCTGCTTTTGCCCTGTCCCAGGCTCTAGGCAGGAACAGCCCCTTCACCCTCCATGTGCTTTGGAGAACAGTGAGCCCGGCAGAGCAAGTGAGACAGCCCCCCCGGGGAGCCCTCCCTTCAGACACCACTTTGGGGTACAGTATGTGCAAGCCTGGCTCGTGCCCAGGCTCTCTCACACTGGGGCAGGGACAGAGCAGTCCCAATGCAGCCCCCTTCTCCCTGCCTGCCGAGCCCCTGTTGGTGTCTGCATGGTCTCCCTCGCCCACGGGGCCTGACACGGAGAGGGGCACTCCGTGCTCTGCCTGGCTCACGAGGCAGGAGCGGTTCCTCAGTGGTGTTTGCTCCAGGGGCCTCCTGTCAGGCCCAGCACTGCAGCAGCCCTCAGCCCTGCTCTGCTGGCACTGCATAGCGGGAGCTGGGACCTGTTCTGCACACTTGGTGCCCTAGCTTAAGGTGAGACAATGTCTCTGAAGGAGAAGGGCCTGAGTCTGGCTGATCTGGGCTGCACACATGGCACACACAGAGCTCACCGCGGCAGCGCAGTGTTGCTGGGCCTCGTACCCTGTCCCTAGCCAGGGGCTCCTGGATGTGCACTCCTTGGCCTCCTGCTTCCAGCTGTGGCCCAGACTGACAGTGCTTGGCTCATCCTTGCCTGCGGCCTGCTCCTGCGTGGTCTTGCGTGTGCTGGACCAGCTGCAAGATGCGCTCGCCCGGTGAGCGAAGCACCACAGTGCGCCATGCGCAGCAGCCGCCTCGGCTCCACGGCCCCTTCCCTGCTCACACCCTGCACCTGTTGCTCTGCTGGCTCCTCAGAGCAAGGAGACCTTTGCTCTGTCTCTTTCTGTGTCGCTGTGTGCCTGAGCCCTGAAGGCTTCAGCAGCCCAGCCCTGCAGGTGCCCTCTCTGCCCTGCTGCCAGTAGACGTCACCCGGCCGTCCCATGTATGGCAGGTCACTGTGTGTCACTGTGTCCTGTGGAGGTGCCTGGGGCTGCCCTGCCGCCCCAGGCCGGGCTTGGAGCAGTCCYGCCTGGCTCCTGGCAGGCGCCTGCTCAGGCTGTGAAGCATGTGTGTTGGTTTGCCAGGAGGAAGAGGAGGAGGAGGAGGAGGAAGATGACAACCTTGATGAAGCTTTATCTGGGTAGGTGTCAAGCTGCTCTTTGTCTCTGGATGTATTAAGCGTGTGATGCTGTGGCAGTTCTCTGCGCGCTGGCAGGCGCTGCCTCCTGACGCTGTCGGCACTGCAGGGCATCAGCAGGGGCTGGCACATGTAGGCTGGAGCAGTGCACGTGGCGCTGTGAAGGGCAGCCCTTCACAAGTCCTCAAGGGAGATGCGCTTGCGGGGTGGATGGACCTGGGAGGGGGCTTTGGTGGCACCTGGGTTGGGGCTTTTTGCAGCTGGAGGGCGCTGGGCTCCTGGGCGGGCGCAGGGCAGGAGATGCAGGCCCAGGGCTTGCTGTGGTGACGGGGGCTCTTCCTCTGCAGCTGCCTGGAGGAGCCATCGTGTGGAGTCCACAGCCCGACAGGTGAGCGCGGTCCCCGTGGCACGGCCATGCAGATGCGGGCGCAGGGCGGCAGCACTTGGCAGCCCGGCCTGTCTTGGCAGCTGTGCTCCCTTCTCCCGCCTTGCAGCGTCGCCCGCGCGCACGCTGAACCCTCCTGCCGCGCCACCGCTGCACTAGCCCCCCCTGGGCCGCCCCCCGGAGAGCCAGAGGCAGCCAGGAGGCCCTGCAGAAGCTCCTATCCCGGGCAGTGCCAGCCCCGCGGCCCTGCTGGGCTAGCCCGGCCGTGCGGGCCCCGGGGGACCAGCCCCTCAGCATTCACCCCGTGCCTGTGCCCGGCCCGCCAGCGCCCGCCGGCCTGCGGCCGCCCTCACCCCGCTCCCCGGCATGGTTCATGCTGYGGGACGCGGCTCTGCTCTGCTCCCAGCTGGGCGCCCAGCAGCCGCAGGCCCAGGCGCAGGGTCCCCTGGGGCTCCCTGGCGTGGGGTCCCCTGGGGCTCCCAGGCACGGGGCCTACTGCAGCTCCCAGGCAGGAGGACACCCGGCCTGCATGGAGAGCGGCGAGGGCCCTACCCATGCCCCTCAGCCCTGCACCCTCTCCTGTGTGCAACGACCTCGTTTTTAAAAGAAACCTCTGCCTTTGTAGTGAAATAAACTGGAGTTTTTTACTGTTGTCAGTGGGGGCAAAGCTCTGACTGGATGGTGAGGGCACTGGGTGCTGCTGCAGCCCAGGCGCAGGGAGGCCTCCTGGCCGTAGCTACCCTTGCACATAGAGCCTGCAGCTGCCCTGGCGCTGGGAGTCCTCGTTGGTGCCAGCCCTGGCCGCAGCTACCCCTGCACGGTGGATCCTGCAGCTGCCCTGGTGCTGGGAGTCCTTGTTGGTGCTAGCCCCAGGTACAGTTATCCCTGCACATAGAGCCTGCAGCTGCCCTGGTGCTGGGAGTCTTTGTTGGTGCTAGCCCCAGGTGCAGCTATCCCTGCACATAGAGCCTGCAGCTGCCCTGGTGCTGAGTGTCCTCGTTGGTGTCAGCCCTGGCCACAGCTACCCCTGCACGATGGAGCCTGCAGCTGCCCTGGTGCTGGGAGTCCTCGTTGGTGCCAGCCCTGCGGGCGTCCTTGCCCATTGCTGCTCTCCCCTGCCCTGCCCTGCTGCTTTGGGGCACCATCTCTCACTGTGCCCGGGACCTGCTCTGCCCTCGGCCTGGGGACAGCGCCTGCAGTGGCTCGGCGCTGTGACGGGGCAGCGCGTTGGGACRGGCAGAGGGCCGTGGCCCTGTGCTGAGGCTGTGACGGGGTGTAGACCAGGCAGCCATCAGCACGTGCTAGGGCAGTGTTGCTGCTTCAAGCGTTAGTCCTCGTCTAAACAATCTCTCTTTTACTTCTGGGGTAAGGGTGGGTAGCAGTGGTCTTGTGATGTGTCCCGGGGTCCCTCAGAGCAGCAGGGCTGCTTCCCAGCCTGGGGCATGTGCTGTGACAGCCCTTGAGCTGCTCTGTGGGCAGGACAGGGCCGCCACGTCCCTCTCACCCTGTCACAGCTGGTTTTTATATGTGCTGAGCTTGATTGTCCCTGTGCCCCACAGCCCCCGCTTGCTTTGCCCCCGGGCACGTGTTCTGTGAGCCCCCAGGCTGCCTCTGCCTGGCTTGGCTGCTGCATCCCCTGGCAGCACCCGCTCGGCAGCTCTGCCCTCTCCTTGCTGCGGAAAGGGCCATGGCTGGCTGCCCATTTTGCTACAGCTCCCAGAYGGGTTTTCATTTAACCTGCCAGACTTTTGTGCTCTTCTGTTTGGCCACAGCTCCTGCCTTGTGACATAGAGCCTGTCCTCCTTCCCCATGATGTTTTCACTCCCCCGTGTAGTTGCAGCACTTTGTTTCTGAGCGTGCACCTTTGGGCTGGTTGAAGGCCTCACGCTGGCAGGGATGCGTCTACACCACCCAGCGCTGGGGCTTCCCCCCACAAACAAAATCAAGAAGCTCTTTTTGTGTTGTGTTGCCCTGATATCCTTAACTCTTGAATGCACCTTTCTTACAAACAAAAGCTGTTAAAGCAAGAGGCCTTGACACAGTTATCCCCTGGATGGAGCTACAGCTGCTCCCTGTGGCCTGGGTCGCAGCAGGCCTTGCACTCCATCACGAAGCGGCTGTTGCGTCTCAAAGCCCCTGTGCTGCTCAGGACCCCTTGCCGCCCCTGCCTGCACAGTCCCCCCAGAGCAGCATGGTCCCCTCCTGCCAGCAGCCTGCTGCCGTCTGGCCTCATCATCCTCCCCAGCCTGCGGCACAGGGACGTCCCTGCTGCACAGGGACATTTCTGCTGCACGGGGACGTGTGCTCCCTGCAGCCTGCTCAGTGGAGAGCACTTGCGCTGTTCTCGATGGAAAAGGTCCATGCCTGCTCTGCACATACCAGCAGCTCAGCAGCAGCGCAATGTGGCCCAGCCGGTAGCACTGGCACTGTCCAAGGTCAGAGGGAGGTGTGAGGCCGCCCAGGAGACCTGCACTAGCAAAGCCCGTGCTGCTCTAACCCCCTGGCAAGTGTAGGTCTTGCAGCAGGGCCAGGCAGCCGCACGGCAAGTGCTGCTGGTGTGCGCTTCGGCACAGGCACCTGCACCTGCTGGTGCACACGACAACACTGCAGACGAAGCTGCCTCGAGCCAAGATGCTTTTATTGAAAAGACCTGCCACAGGGAGACGCTCCCTCCAACCCTTCCCACCTTGCTCTGCAGCAGGCGTTGAGCAGCACCCAGAAGGAAGAGTCCTGAAAGTGCTTTGCTGGGAGGTTTATTCCTGGAAGACGCTGGATCCTTGATGCTTGAATCTAGGGCTGCAGAGCCAGCAGTGAGGCTGCCATCGCTGCAGCAGAGGGGCCCTCATGCCATGTCCCCCAACACGGCTGGGCACCCCAGGCCCAGCCTGGCCTCTGGCACCAGCAGGGCAGGTCCCGCGGGATGAGTGCTGGGAGCTCACAAACACGGTCCCAACACTACCTCTTTGCAGCCCTGGGGTGGTCAGTGGCTCCCACTGTCCTGGCACAGAGCCAGAGGGCTACCAGCCTGGGCATGTCGGCCAGCCGCTTCCTGCAGGTCTGTGCTGCACCAGCCACCCTGGGGCGGCGCATGGAGCTGGCTCCAGGACAAAGCAGCGGCAGTGACCATGTGCCGGCAGGACAGATGGGGCCAGGAGCAGGGCTGATGCCATCAGAGCTGGAGCTGTCCCCAAAGCAGGGCCAGGCTCCACAGGCCTGTCCTGCTGAGCCACCCGGCCCCTCTGCACCTCTGAGCACCACCTGCAGGCAGTACAGGCATCACCTTCCTCGCAAGGGGCCCAGCGGCTTCCCCACAACCAGCTCCAGTGTGACGGGACTATTTTTCTCCTAGGCAAACAGCAACACCGCAGTTGTGCCCTTGTGCTACCTGCCCCATGGCACAGAGGGGCTCGGGGCAGCCCTAGGGCCTCCGGCACTGCCGGTCTGGCTGTGCTCTGCACCCTCGTCGCCTCCGCATCCTTGGGCACCCCGGCACTGTCATGGCTGGTGCAGAGCCCCATGCGCCAGCTGGGCCCAGCCCCACAGACAACCCTGGCCCCATCACTGCCCCTGTGCTGGCGGCACCGGCCGGGCCCCAAAGGGGAAACAGCTCCCCCATCACAGGCAGCCTCCGAGCCAGACAGCGGCTGAGGGCAGCAGCTGCAGGCTGCGCCTGGCCCTGCACTGAGCCCGTGCGCCCGCACGTGCCCCAGGCTGCCCCCCAGGCCGCCCCCCGGCCGCCCCCCAGCGCCAGCCGCTCTGCTCCCCGCGTGGGCTGGCAGCTCCCACTCCTCGCCCGCCTCCATGCTCCAGGGCAGCAGGGCCGGGCAGGCGGCGTGGCCGGGCCCTGCGCCATGCACGGCTCGGAGCCGGCTCCATGCACGTCCCCACACCGCTGCCCGTGGGAAAGCGTCAGTTCTGATATGCAGATCTTCGCATGCAGAATGCCAGGCTGGGCACCCAATGCCGCCTCTTCTTCCCAGGCCTGTTTTCGGCTCTGGCGGGACCCCAGATGCCAAGCTGGTGCTGCACTTACACCTCAATAATATTGACAGAGGGGGACTTCTTCTATGAGAGAAAAATCTGCTTTAAGGCATTGCTTTGCTAAACCCTTGGGATGCAGGTGCTGCAGCAGCCCCTGCCAGCCTGGCAGGCGCCGAGGGCTCCGCCTGGGAGCTCTGCGGGCTGCGCTGGGCCCTCTGCCCTGCACAGGAGCTGGCTGCTGCTGCGGAAACCTTCAGCACCTCCCAATGGGACCAGTTCCGAACCAGCAGGACGTTGGGCCCTGTGCACAGTGCTGCCCTCCCAGGCAGCTCTGCCCCATCTCCGGGCCTCACCCCAGGGGAGCCCGTCAACCCCCGCACCCGCTGTCCTGCTCGCCCCAGCGCTCCCAGAGGACCCAGGCATCCTGCCCCACCTTCGCCGCACACCTCAGTCCTGTGCCACAAGCGATGACCTTTCACAGGAGAGAGGTGCAGAGCTTGGAGCAGCAACAGTAACTGGGAGGGTAGGAGGACATGGCCATGGGCAGAGAACCGATGGAGTGTGAGATGACAGGAGCAGAGGGACAGGAAAAGCTGAGCACGTGTTGTGAGGGCTCTGAAGTGCACAGAGCAAATTGAAGGCCGGAGGAGCAAATTGAAGGCAGCTCACATGCAGTGAGCTGGGGTTTCCCAAACACCGTCACAACACCTTTGCACTGAAAGGATCCCATTCGCTGATTAGAGCAGATCAGCAAACTCGGAGGAGCTGCAGGCAGGGGAAGGGAAGGAAAGGGAAGGGAAGGGAAGGCAAGGCAAGGCAAGGCAAGGCAAGGCAAGGGAATCACAGAATCACAGAATATTTAAGGTTGGAAGGGACCTCTACAGATCATCTAGTCTAACCTTCCTGCTCAAGCAGGCACACCTACAGCATGTGGCACAGGGTGGCATCCAGGCGGGTTTGGAAGACCTCCAGAGAAGGAGACTCCACAACCCCCCTGGGTAGCCTGTTCCACTGCTCTGTCACCCTCACAGTAAAGAAGTTCCTCCTCACCTGGAGATGGAACTTCCTGTGCTCCAGCTTGTGGCCATTACCCCTCGTCCTATCGCT